TCTCTCTCTCTCTATTTTTTTTTTTTAATAGAACCATGTCATGGCTTGATAGGAACCATGTACCACAAGGCCAGCAGCCTGGATTATAATTCCAATATAGTATTATAAGTGAGGGCCACCCGGGCTCGAGCGTGTATGCACACACGCACACACACACACACACTCAATGGCCTAGAGCAATCCTTGCATCTAGCCTAGGCTAAACAGCCTATTCAAGGACCCCCTGGTCCTGCCCTTCCCTTCCACCAACTCCCTCCCAAAGGCAATCAAGGCGGGGGTCGCCTTGGCGCAATGAGAGAGGAGAGGTGGCAAGGGACATTCGGGCTTCACTCTCACCACCGGTGCGGGCCCATTGCCCCCATGGCCTCCATGGGGGCACGCGCTGGCCATGTGTCCCTGCTGGCCGCGGCGGAAGCAAGTGCCCTTGAAGCCGCGGCAGCCGGTTCCTCCTCCTATGCCCTTCGGCATGAAGGCGACGGATTCGCGGGGGAAAGAACGGTTTCCGCGAGGGAGGCCGGTCTTCACACGCTTGAGTGCCGCCATGTCCGCTACCGCCATCTTGAAGGAGCGCGAGGTAAGCACCGCTGTAGTCTTCAGCAACTGGTAGCGCTCAGCTACGTCGAAGCCCGCGTGGTCGGCGACGACCAACACGTCAAAGCGACGCTTGATAAGGTCTTGGGCTTGGGCGACGGTCTTGAGCGCGCCGGTGGTGTCGCCGCCGCGGATTTTGTGGTCCAGGTGCGCCAAGTAAATCTGGAGCGCTTCGAAGACCTCAGCTTGGTCGCGGACGCCTTTGCGGTTGAAGGCGGCGGCCGCAGTCGAGGGATGAGAAGAGGGGAGAGGGGGAAGAAGATCGTTAGGCAAAATCGGAATTAGGTTGTTTGGCTCCTCACCCTCGTCACTGTCAGAGTCGGAGTCGATGTGAGCAGTGGCATGTCAGAGGTCCACTGGTGATCCCCGATTGATCCTAGGGAAGGGTTACAGGCATGTTGGCCTGGGGGGTTATGAGCGCACTGACCCGCTACTTAACAAGCCCTTTTATCCCAATGGTCTAGTGGTTGGGATTCTGACATGGTATCAGAGCGAAGGTCTCGGGTTCGAATCCCAGTGTGTGCACTTCGGGCATCCCAGTGCGGGGGGGTGTCAGAGGTCCACTGGTGATCCCTGATTGATCCTAGGGAAGGGTTACATGCATGTTGGTCTGGGGGGTTATGAGCGCACTGACCCGCTACTTAACAAGCCCTTTTATCCCAATGGTCTAGTGGTTGGGATTCTGACAGGGCAGCCGGTTCTTCTTCGACGGCAGGCACCTTTCCTTTGTCAACGCGGGTGGGTGCGGCGACACGTGCGGAGGTAGAAATGTTGTTGCGCGGGTTTGCAGTCTTAGCGGTTGCAGAAATTTCTTCTTCATTTGTTGCTGTAGGCGCTTTTGCAGGAGTCGAGGCCTGCTTCTGGAGGAGCGCCAGCAGTGCCGCAAGTTGCGGGGGCGAAAGATTTGCGCCCGCCCCGTCTGACGCGGCCGAATCCGTCGCCCTACGTTTGGGGGGGGCGCGAGATCCGCTCGGATCTGCGGTGGCGGCGGCAGGGATGGCGACGAAATCGCTATCATTGTCGCCGCCTGCAGGCCCTCGAGCCTGCGTGTGGGATGCGCGTGGCTGGGACGAACGCGCGACTGTTCCGCCCTCGCCGAGCAACACGTCGATCCCCGTGTGGGTCGCTTCAGCGTGATTCTCGGCAGGGCGCTTTCTTTTTTCCGCGGCGTTTTCCCGAGGCGTTTTCTCAAGTCCCGTCGATTGACGAGCAGGCGACTCCTTAGCCCCGGGGGTATTGTTGCTCGCCGGCGCCATCGTTGCTAAGTTCCGATCAAGAATGTCGGAGAGAAGCGTCGACGGAGAGGTGAAGCGAGGCAGGGTTTTGGTCCTCGCCAGCTTGGACGAAGAAAATGTCGAAACTTGAAATTGAAAGTTCGGAATGAAAACGTGGGTGAAGGCCAAATGGCCTTCGCCCCCTCTTTTATACCGAAAAAGAGGGGAAGTAGCGTTTCGCCGAAGCCTTTGCTTCGGTACAATTCGCTTCGCTATTCACAATACACAAATTTGGAAAGTGTTTCACTTTCAAAAATTTACATTTATTGTATGGTCCGTGTGTCAGCCCTCTCGTGTTAAAATCATATATTATTGTGTAACTGCATGCATACCTAGTTAGTGTAGCATCACTGTAGTATTTCTATGTCGGTGGTGTACCTCCCTTCCCACATTCCCTTGAAATGTCTTGTACTCGCCATATACTTATACCTGCATGCTTACACTTGCTAGGTTGTGTTCACTGTACTGTTTGCTTTCCTTTATATAGCTCTGATACCATGTGAGAAGGATTGACAAAAGAATGAATAAACTAGAAAATGAGATGGGTACAAATAGGAAACACATAAGTGTTGTACCCTCTAAGAGCTACCCCACTACAGCCTAAATAGACCATAGCAGATATAAGTTTGACAACTCCAGCACCTCCAGCTCCAATGCCTCCAACGGCAGAGTCTCCAGCTATGGCAGCTCCACTCCGAAGGCGTGTGCGCTAAGTAAACCACTCGCGCAGCTGCTGCGGGGAGAGAGGCTCCGGCCGGGGAGACAGTCGTGGCGAAGCACCCGCAGGACCTCCCGAAAAAGCAGTACCCCCCTATTCTCTCTTAACTTTCTGCATGCTCCTAAGCTAGGGTTTCTCCTAGCCTAGGTTGCTCCTTAATTATGACATCTCGACACTTTTGCCCATATCAAAGCGTGGCTTGTTTTCTACACCTAACGGACTTTCTCTTTCCATCCACTGTTCGTGATGTTGATGCCTTCAGCCAGAATGGTAGGTTGTATGTTGAGGTATTTTGGCCTTGCATCTTGAGGAATCCTTAGTCCACAAAAGCTAACTTCTGCTTGAGCATAATTTTCTCTCTTTATCATGTGCTGCATTTGTAACCTTAGCATTTTTCACGTGTACACCCTGGACCCGAAATCCTGCCGGCTCGTGTTGTGACGCAATTTGGTAAGCCGCAACAGCAACAAGAGAGGGACGAATGGGTCATGTAATCATGACTGGCGAATTCCATGGCCCGTGGCTGGTGTTAGATAATTGTGTGGCGGAGGTTGTGTGATTTGTGCTCCACTCATCTTTGTTGCACGGAGATTCGGGCATTGTTTTTCTAACGGAAACTGGCAATATTACGTGAGCAGTTCGTCAAGTGCCATGCCAGCCATGGTTTTCCAGCTGGAACGCTTCAGATTTGGCCAATCAGCGAGGCTCGCTTGCGACATGTCAAGGCCCAGTGCAGCACAAAGTTACATTGTTACGCCACCCAACCATCCCATTTAGGGCGATGCATTTCAGACTGACGACAAAGTCGCAGCAACCATCGCCTTGCGCGATGAATGCAAAAATCTTTCCGCACGTGATTGCGACAAATCCTGGTAACCTGATGCCTAGCAGAGTCGCCACTAAGGACGCGGTAAGAGTAGACGATCGATCGTCTGTCGCGATCAATGTGTGAAACGGTTACCCTGGTTCCAGAAAAGTAACCTCAGCTACAGTGATAATTTTAGACAAAATACACAAACATTCAGACAGGACGACTGATCGTCCGCTGGGAAGCAAATGCCGACGAACCAAACATTACAGTGATGACTGATCCAAGTGCTTGCGACGTGAAAGTATTTCGCTAAGCGGGTGAAATGAGTCGCACAATTTTCACATTTCACAAGGCTATCCTTTCGCCGACCAGGTTTCCCTGTGAGGTGCGAAATTCGCACTCGAGCGTGTACGAAATTGTTGTAAAGCGGGTAATGTCCGCGCCAAAGTGATCCCGGCGAATTGAACACAAGGCTCAACAGTTTTTTCCGATCGTTACAACGCCGGGTGTGCATCGTTTCACCGATCAACTCCCCAAAGCGATCGTGAAAATCGATATTCTCTCACGATCCTCCGAATATGTCACTTTCTCCGCGTCCTAATTCTGGACATCGGCGGCAGCAAACCAGAAAGAGTCACTGGTTTCAGTCAGACAGTGACAGTCAGGAAGAAGCCTTTCTCTGGGAGTACTCTATTCCTGCCTGTTGCTGTGAAGCAATGCTTCCTCATCTTCCACATCGTCGCTCTCATGAGTGTCATGCTCTCATCGTCAGCCTTCCTTCCGTTTGGAACGGAATGCCTCGGTGTAACCCTAGATTTCTTATCAGTGAGTTCACGCAGGACGGATAATCTCGTTTTTGCGCTCACCTGGGATCTGTGTCCAAAAACGAGATTATCAGTGAGCTGGACAGATTCTCTCGTTTTTGCGCACCCCGTGCGGTTCGTTGTTCGAGAAGCAGCTCAAGGGATTTTGTTTTTCATCCTTCGTCCAAATCGCCAACGCTGACTGACAGTTTTTTTGGCCGCTCTTAACTTGACGCAGTTCCGTTTCTCACGCGTACTATGTGTACAGTTCGATTTAATTGGAAACAAATTAGGGTAATGAGTTATCGTTAATCACCTTCTCTGAGAGACGCTTCAAAGCCGCCATTAAGAGCGCCACGGACGTTACCGTGTGTCCAGCATTGACGTCTCGAGTTTATTTTGTTTTCGAGATTCGGCTTCTCTCAAGATTCATCACGCCGCGCGTCGTCCAAACCTCTTCAGGCTGAAGCGCGACGGATTTCTGTCGCACGCCACGTCACTGGGTCGCCATGTCACTGAGTCCTGACAAGACTGCTTACCACTAGCTCCGTGACTTGGCACGGCTTATCCCCCCTGCTCTTGCTTACAACCGCTCCCTTTGCGAGTAAATGGCGGGCCGCCATGAACGCCGGTGCTTCTTCTCCTAGTGCAAGTTCCAAGATCTGATGATGGTTCCAGCGCCAGTCCTGGTTTCGCGGCGGGCGCAAGTCCTGGTTTCGCGGCTGCCCGCACCCTCCGAGGCGCGCGAGTCGCCATTAGTCCCGCTACTAATAACTCATCGCCGCGGGACTCTAAATTTCCATTTAACTCCTCGTCTGCCTCTCGCTCTCGTTGTCTGCGCGTGGCTTCTGCTCACTAGTAGTCTGTTTGCCGGACAGGCCTCTGGAAACGGAAACATTCCAAAGAAACGAGCACTTGGAAATGGAAGCATCGTTCCAAGGAAAGCGCGGTACCTACAAGCGGTGAAAGTATCTCTGGGGAACGTACCCGTTGCACCACCTGTTGCACCACCCGTTGCACCACCCGCACCCATTGCACCCATTGCACCGCCCGCACCCATTGCCGTTGCACCACCCGTTGCACCACCCGCACCCAGTGCCGTTGCACCACCCGCACCCAGTGCCGTTGCACCACCCGCACCCAGTGCCGTTGCACCACCCGCACCCATTGCCGTTGCACCACCCGCACCCATTGCCGTTGCACCACCCGTTGCACCGCCCGTTGCGCCACCCGTTGCGCCGCCCGCTGCGCCGCCCGCTGCGCCACCCGTTGCGCCACCCGTTGCGCCATCCGTTGCGCCGCCCGTTGCGCCACCCGTTGCACCCACTGCGCCGGCGCCTGGCGGAGGAGCGCCAGCGCAAGGGGGAGCGCCCGGAGGAGGGGGGGCAGGCGGAGGACCGGGGGGAGGTGGTACATCGTTCAATGTGACAGCTGAACAAGGCGCAATTCTGGAGGCATGTGGCAGAGAAATGGGTGTGCCGGATGGCATGTGGTATCCTGGCGTGCCATGCAGCATGCGAGTGAGTGAGTGTGCTGCTGTGTCCACAACGGTATGCGCGTCTTGCATGGCAGTGCAATGGCATTGCATGCCCCACCCGATGGATGGCTTGTGGTATCCTATCCTGGCATGTCATGCAGCATTGACTCGTGGATCACATGCGACCCTTTTGGTGCCGTCAATGGCATGTGAGTGCGACATGGCATGGCATGGCATGGACAAGTATATCAACACATTGGAAAGGGCATGGCATGATGTCAATGCAACATAGCTCATGTGTGACCGTGATTGCACATTGCACATTGCACATTGCACCATTAATGGCATGTGAGTGTGGCAGGGCAGGGTATGCAGGGTATGCATGCCATGGAATGGCATGACGTGGCATGGCATGATCTGATATTGACGGGTATGCATACATTTCCTTGCAAAGCACACAGGTGGTTTTTGACACCACCCTCGCGACGCACAGAGATAAGAAACCACCCTTGCGATGCACAGAGGCTCAGCCTTTGGTGTTTCAAAAACGTTTCAGAACGCAAAACGGCTGATTGGTGTGTCTCTCATGTGCCTTTTGACTGTTTCTTGTTGCAAGGACGGTAAATCAAGGCTCAGCCCCCTTCTCTCCTTATTCTGCCCCCTCCGTTGCATCCACCCCCCTTAGCTTCCCCCACGATCAGGGCTTAACAGGATCCTTTTGTTCCATTCCCCTTCTCTCCTCCCACTTGTGACCCCCCTTAGTCTCCCCCACGATCAGGGCTTAAATGGATCCTTCTGCTCCAATATAAGCCTCCTCACGTCTCTGACAAAGATGTACGTTTGACGTTTGGCCAATAGGTGGGTACTTTGAGACGCCTAGGTAAAAAAAACAGATGCCTGTGTGTAGGTGGGCAGATGTGAACGTGAAGAGCCACTCTTGGTTTGTATAATGTTTCGTCCCCTCTCTCAAACGATCCTTTGTATTGATTCAGGCAGGGTACAAAACATGCAGTTTTATCCGGTGATACCCTCAATCCAAGTATAATGTTTCATCTCCTCTGTCTCTCTCTCTGTCTCTCTCTTTCGCACCACCATAAAGCTCTGCACTCGGCTCCTCCCTCCCATTTGCCCCTACCGCTCCGCTCCACATAACTCGGCGCCCCCATTTCCCTCGGCTTTTATTAGGTGCTTCGAAAGAATTCGCTTCTCATCATTTCACTGCCTCTACCCTTGTGAAAACTCTAGAAAACGACCTAATCATCTGCCATCACCCTTGATCCTTGCTTCAATTCAAACTGTTCTTGCACCCTCCCCCTTTCCTGTTCCATCCTCGTTAGTGACTTGGCCAACAACTCGCTATCGGGCTCTCTTCCAACCAACCTTGGCAACCTTACTAGACTGGACACCCTGTGAGTAGTGCTGAGGAGTGCTGAGTAGTGCTGAGTAGTGCTGAGTGGTGCTGAGGAGTAGTTCTGCGGCACATGATGCATGCATTGCCTTGCCATTCCTCTACCTGTCCTCTACCTGCCCTCTCTGTCCAATCATTTCTGAGATGTCTCAAAAAGGACATTCAGTGAGTAGTGCTGAGGAGTAGTTATGCAGCACATTATACCGTATTAGAATCACCCTAATCTCATCATTGATTCGCTCTAGTCTATTGCCATCGTCGATTCTCCCTAATACCATCATGAGTGTTTGCTAACGACTCAAACCACTCAAGTCTCCCCTAATACCATCATGAGTGTTCCTTTGCCCTAACGACATCACTCATTCACCCACCCTGCAGAGTTCTTAGTTACAATCGTTGAACAAATTACTCTTGAGAATTCTCAAAAGTGATTTCATTACTATGTGTGTGCCTTTGCCCTATCCATATGAAATCACTCAATCACCCTGCAGAGTCCTTGATTACAATAATCTCTCCGGTATCATTCCTCCCACCCTTGGGAATCTCATGAAGCTCACTACACTGTAAGCTGCAAGGTTTGGGGGAGTGTAGAACCTATTTTTGGAGGCGCCTCAAGAATTTCTCTCTAGTGTCGTTCCTCCCACCCTTGGGAATCTCGTGAAGCTCACTGCCCTGTAAGCTGCAAGGTGGAGGGGGGGAAGGTGGGGGGGAGGGGGCAGGGGGGGCTGGAAGGGGGGGTTAGAATCTCGCATCGTTCCGCCCACCCTTGGGAATTTCACTCGCCTCACTACACTGTAAGCGTATTTTTCTAGGCGCCTAGAAAAAGACTGTAAGCTGAAAGGTGGTCCGCAGGAGCCGGTGTTTTAGTCAACTACAAAATCGCCTCCCTCACTCCCATGTATCTCTCTCATCCCAGTGTGCTGGACAGGAGGGGGGTTGTATGCCCCACAGGAGCCGGTTTTTTAGTAGACTAAAGAATTTACTCCCTCACTCCCATCCCATCCATCTCCCTCACCCCAGTGTCCTCGACAGGAGCGGGGTTGTGTGCCCCACAGGAGCCGGGCAATCCTGCACGGTCAAGCAGACCAGCTCCACCCAATTCTGCCAAACGTGCAGCGAGTTTTGCTCCGCTTGCACTATTCCTGATTCCCGTTCCATGACACCCGTCCCGCCAGTGTGCTGGACAGGAGCGGGCTCGTATGCCCCACAGGAGCCGGGCAATCCTGTATGGTCAAGCAGACCAGCTCCACCCAGTTCTTCCCTTCTCTTCCTCCATCCTCTCACTCTCCTTTCTCACACTCCTTTCCCTGTCCCGTCCCGCCAGTGTGCTGGACGGGAGCAGGCTCATCTGCCCCGCAGGAGCTGGGCAGTCCTGCACGGTCAAGCAGACCAGCTCCACCCAATTCTGCCAGACGTGCAGCGAGTTTTGCTCCACTTGCACTCCTGTTCCTGATTCCCCCTCCACAGCACCTGCTCCGTCTTCTCCATCTCCTCCCTCACCTCCTCCTCCTCCTGCCTCTTCTGGTTTGTCTGTGGGAGCTATCGTTGGGATTGCGCTGGGAGGTGCCCTAGCTGCTGCTCTGCTTGCCGGCGGCATTTTCTTTTTCTGCAGACGAAATTCCACTGCAGGTGCGAGCTATTGTTGGTCCCTCACCTCTTCTTCCCTCACCTCTTCCTCCCCCACCTCTTCCTTCCTCCCTCACCTCTTCCTCCCGCTCTTCCTTCTCCTCCTCCTCCCTCCTCTGCTCTGTCTGTGGGAGCTATCGTTGGGATTGTTGCTGGGAGGTGTCCTAGCTGCTGCACTCCTCGCTGTTGCCGTGTGCCTTCTCCACAAACGAAGGTCCAGCCTTCTCCACAAACGAAGGTCCAGCCTTCTCCACAAACGAAGGTCCAGCCTTCTCTACAAACGAAGGTCCAGCCTTCTCCACAAACGAAGGTCCAGCCTTCTCCACAAACGAAGGTCCAGCCTTCTCCACAAACGAAGGTCCAGCCTTCTCCACAAACGAAGGTCCAGCCTTCTCCACAAACGAAGGTCCAGCCTTCTCCACAAACGAAGGTCCAGAGAGGTGAAGCTTTGGTTATGCAATGTACCAGTCCAATAGATGCTGGGATGATCTCAGCTTTCTACCACTTTGTGACTTTTGAGTCGACTCAAAAGTCATTTGGTGATTTGATGTAGGAGTGTAGTAGATGTTGGGGTGATTCTAGCTTTCCACCACTATGGAAGGTTTCTTAACTGCCTCTCTCTCCTTGCCGCTGGTCTTCTTGCTGTTGCCATGCTGCTTCTCTACAAGCGAAGGTCCAACACCTTGACAACAATGGTACAATGAAGTTGGCATGACAAGACTACATCAGAGCTAGCATTCAGGTCGGTCGACTGCCAGCACCACATGGTCGACCGCGTTCCAGCACGACTTGGTCGACCGCGCTCCAGCAGTGCAAAGTCGACGGCGTGCCAACGCTGCAGGTTGACGGCGTGCCAGCGTTGCTCCCGCAGAACAGCATCGCACCAGCTTCGCAGGTGCTCGCTGATGATTGGCACGCTGAGCCTTGTCACCTGCACAGCGCACACACCAAGCCAAATTGGCGCTGACAACTGCATCTGATCAGCCACGTCGACCTCGGGATACCACCACCGAGGTCGGACTCGCCAACTTCGCCTGGGCGACCGTCGCACTTCTCCGCAGAACCTCGTCACCCAGGTAACCTGGTCGACCGGGCAACCACGTCGACCAGCTGCTCCTGTATGTGCCCGTCGACCTCCCAAGTCGTCGACCACCCCAAGTCGACCTCACCAGGTCGACCACACCCCTGGTCGACCAGCTCCAGGTCGACGTCCCTCCTGGCCGACCAGCTCCACGTCGACCAGCACTCCTGGTCGACCAGCTCCATGTCGACCAGTGCAGCTGTCAGCCGACCACCCAAGTCGGCTACCCGAAGTCGGCGTCACCAAGTTGACGCCCTGCTACTCGACGCCCAGCTGCTCGACGTCCTGAGTTGAGGTCGACGTCGGCCCCTCCTCCGTCGACCACCAAATCAGGTCGACCACCAGGTCAGGTCGACCACCAGGTCGACATCACACCTGGTTGACCAACCACCAAGTCGACAAGCAGACCTGGTCGACCAACCACCAGGTCGACCAGTAGTCCTGTCAGCCGACCACCCAAGTCGGCTGCCCCAAGTTGGCGTCACCAAGTCGACGCCCTCCGCAGGTCGACTTCCCAGGTCGACCTCCCTGAAGTCGGCGCCCGTGCAGTGGCTCCCGTGCAGGTCGACCTCCTCGTCAACCAGCTCGCCCACTGCTGCAGGTCGGCTGCTCCCCTCACACCCGACCACGAAGTCGGCTCCGCCCAAGCGAGGACGGGGCCAACACACAACTCCCGTTGACACAGATACCATTGCCTCTCGATGAATTTCCATTGCCCATGCCCACACGGAGCACTACAGTCACTGTTGAGAATTCTCAGAAGTTCTCCCACCTCCGTGAGCTTGGCTTCCCCCATGCCCACCCATTCCCAACACATGAGCCATCGACAGGCGATGGAACATCAGAGGGGGGAGTGGAATCTGTACCAACCAGGTCGCTCATGTGCCAACGATAACCCCTTAGCTATAGTTGCCCCATGCCCACCCATTCCCTACCCCATGCTCGTACCCTTGGTACACACACCCCATGCCCACT